CATAGAAGGGAAAAAAAATGTCTGCTTTTGCAGGCTAGCCTGAAAGTCGGCAGCAGTCCAAATATTCGAAAACTATCGAAAGGAATTCAAAATCAAAATGAAACTAAAAACGGATTCATGGAGTTTAAAAACCAAACCCTTTAAATGTTTGAGAATGCCAGGGTAAGATCTCCAGAGGAAAGTACAGGAAATTGAGAATGTCTGCTTACATTTCTATTAAATTTTTCAGCAGTCGATAGTCACTACCCAACGAAATGCGGGTCACATGGTTCTTCACATTCGCAAAAGAGATTTAATCATCGAGCAGGCTTATACAATCGTCTAAAGTTTAGGAATCCATTTAAAAAAAAATTAAATGTTTCTAAACAGAAGTTCCAATCCATATAGAAATAACAATTATTTTTTCTGGGTACTCTCAAAGTACAGTTAGTTAAGACCTTGCCAATTTTTTATTTTAGTTTATTCGAACCGAAAAGGATATATTAAGCAACTATTTAATTGGAGTGGTCACTAATAGCTAATTATTTATTATGTTGCATTACCACATTCAAGTTTTGATCACTTTTGGCAACATCAAATAATGCTTTCTTTTCGACGATGGTAATTGTGTTCTCCTTTTATTGGTGTGTGTCGAAAGTCTGAAGATTCTTAGCATCTCTAGTCGACGACTCACTGGGATTTGTCTTCTGTGATAGATACGTCATAATTTCTGAAAATCTATAAAAGTAACTTCTAGGACTAAAGGAATGACCAAAAGATTTTTAAATTAAAAGAATTGTGCATTAAAATGTTTTGAATCACGGATGCAAGTGTTTCTTACTCGATTAACAATTCCAGCACAACATATAGGAAAAAAATATTATAAAATAAAAACTATAACAATTCTTGTTTATTCTGCTCAAACATGAAAGTTTTTATTTCAAAATTCAAAATAATAACGACACGAAAAAAGTTGTGTGTAGGAGAAGAAAATTGCTCAGTTTCTTCGTACGTCTGTATTTGTGCAATCACAGCAACATTGCTTTCCAGGTGAGAGAATTTCAGTTTTCGGGTGGTTGTATCTCTATACATGTTCTTGAAAACTCAATATCTTTATCTGGCTGGTTTGCCCAATTATATAGAAGACACTTTTATTTGTCTTTCCGTTAGTGTTAATTAGCTTTACGCTGATCAAATATCATAACGAGAAAACATTCTCTAGTCTTACCAGACATTCCAGCCATACACACAGGAAAATGTAAACGCATTTTCTTGTAACATAAACCTGCATTTCATTTAAACCCGAATAGCCAAATAATTAACTTAGATACATATCGGAGAGGGACAAGTGATCATATATATAAGAGATATTTGCCAAAATAGTTGTGTATTTATAAAGATCACAAGCGACCAAACTGGAAATGAATAAAAAAAAAAGATTTTAAAAAATGATATTTTAAAAACAGAATATGGAAATTAGTTATCTCAATTAAACCAGAACTACTAAATCAGGTAAGGTATAAAACATATGTTTGCATATACAAATGGTAAATCAACCTTTATTGTGCAGCTCAAATTCCGCCCCAAGGTAATATCGCTCCCAAGTGGGGGAGGCTATGGTTTATCCTTGACACCTAAAGCATCCGAAAAGGAAAGTATCAAGACAGCTGAGAATTTTTGTCCCTCGTTCCATGTATTCGTGGGATTCCTACTTGAAACTTGGCCATAGGCCATATTCTGTTCGAGAGGGCGTACTGATAAATATCAACCCGTACTAATTTGATTCCACAGTTTTGCATAATGTTTACATACGCATAGACAGACAGACAACAAAACTTTATATATGGATTTAATTTTAAGAAGCATTGAGCTTTAAATAAGGTCAGCACCAAAAGTAATGCTTCCTCTTACATTCTCCTACCGCTGTTGGTATATAGCAGTAGAGTATTTTTTGTCTTCTTACAGAAAACAGCTAAGTGGCAGTATGGCAAAACTGTCTCTGACATGAAAGTGCATACGAAACAGAGTAGTACCATTGGATTCCTGCATGCAGAAACATTGCAGCCATAGATATTCACCAATGATTGTTAAAGATTTGCGACGGTCAAACAGTGGACGCAAACACAATTAGGCTTTGGATAATGCGTTTCAGCAGTGACGACAGCGATGTGTGTGACAAGCCTCATCACGAGAGGCCCTGAATAGCTATCAACTCACGAATCAAAGAGCATCTTGACTAGGTCATCTATTCGATTTTAATCAAGGGACTGCGTATGCAGCTGAATACCGACTTTATTACGTTGAAAACTATGTTGGCAATGGTGGGCATTCGTAAAGTTTGTGCCAGGTTGGTCCCAGGCAGGCTCAGACAAGAACAGAAAGACCACCGAATGTAAGTCTCTCAAGAGCTGTTGAGAAATTGCGAGACTGAAGGTGAAAGTCTCGTGAACGGGACCGTCACCGGTGATATGATTTGACGTCATATATAAGAGTCGGAATGAAAACGTATGTTTACGAAGTGGAATTCCCTATCAAAGAAAAAGTTTAAATGAACGGCTCCCTGTATTGCTCCAGTAGGTCCCTGACTCCGCATTCCATCCTCTAACGTTACAAGAGCCAAATCAGGCCTAAAATGGAGTACTATTGTCATATTTGGGCAGGAGCTTCTCGGTCTTCACTCATCACTCTCGATGGGTGGCAAATTATTTTCTACTCTCCAATCTGTCTCTCACAAGAGGGATATGGTAAGCATCTCACTGTCCTATCGCTACTTCCATGGAAAGTGCTCGGACGAACTACATTCCTTGGTTTCACCAGTTCTAACTTTCACGACTAGAACAGCTTTCCACGAACCACTGTTCCGTGGAACCGAACCCCAGGAGAATATTTCTCTAATGACTACAATCTTAACCTGTCCAAGTCTAGTGTTAACCGTTATCTTCCGCTCTTATCAGCATAAACTGTCTATTAATGTAACCCTCTACCTCGAGTGGCTCCAGGACTTGTACAGTGTGAACCTTACTGTAAGAAAAAAAAAAAAAAGACGTAACCATCCGTGAGCAAAGTGATGTACACTGACTTTCGGGATGGGAAAGGCAAAAATTCTTAGATTTCCTGGAACTCATATAAAACATAAACTCTTATCTTTACATTACAACGCTTACTTAAATTAAGACTCAAATTTTCAGATTCAAACCATTCGCTTGTGAAACGATAATGGCAGGTCTCAAAGATCCGAAGGCCATGGATCATATTGCAAATTTTGGATGAATTCTCCCACCATATCCACAGTATTGTCTAGATTTGGCCCCGTCTAACCATCATCTGTTTGAACTGAAGGAAGACGGACTATGCAGACAATATTTCCTTGATAACTATGTCATCTTTCCTAGTTTGAAAGAGTGGGTCGCCTCGTTTGGTGCAATTTTTTTACGAGCGTAATATAGAGGCTTTTATTCACCCTGAGAGATGATACATAACCCAAAGAAGTGACTATGTAGAAAAATAGTGTTTTGTTGCTAAAACCTCGCTCTATCTAATAGTATCCATAGTATCATTGCGCTCTCTGTATATCTTGTAGCATTGGTGGAAATAGAAAACTGATATTACTTTTGCATCGTACATCTCAACCACATTTTATATTCTGTTTACTGAAACAATAATATGGCATAATAAAATCAATTATCAGAGGTGGTTTTATATCGGCTAGGGTTTAATTTCGTTTTGTCCACAATTTTTTTCACATGTTTTTGTTATGTACTCTTACGAAACGTAATTAATTTTATTTCGTTCAGATTTCTTCTCGTCCGATCATCGAAATTAAGCAATATCGAACCTGATCAGTACCTAAATGGGTAATCATTTGGGAATAGCACGCGGTGTAAGCTTGGATGTGCGGGTGGAATGAGGAATAGGAGAGCCGAGTTCAAATTCCACTTGTGTTTGTTACATTCACTTACACGTAGATACTCTTGGGAATGGTATGAATCAATCTCTTCTCCCCCAATTATGGGTTAAATAACAGGACTGATTGGGTCTTATAATCTTGGTAGGCAACCAGTCTACCGCAAAAAGTGATAGCAGCCTATTGTAGGAATTTCTGTTTCAAGTCAATCATAAATCGAAAAGAAACATGGTCGTCCAAGCGTGCATTAAGCATGGAATCTCAGGAGGGAAAAAAAGAAGGTAGTTTTTTTTTATTCTTTTAATTTAAAGAAACGAAACTGTATCTGATCATTATAATACATTATTATTAGTTGCAATTAGAAGATAATGGAACGTTGTGATTCTTGTTTCTATATGAATAAATTGAGCCACAGCAATAATCAGATCATTCACTTTATTTGCACTTCTTCCTCCTCCTTAAGTGACATGTCTCTTCATAACGTATGCAATCATGGTTCCTTTCCTCTCATGTCAGTAAACTGTTCCCTTCCTCGAGGAAGAGGAATGTCTTCCAGTTGCCTTTTACGTAGTTACGAATTCAGAGTTGCCTATAAAGATAGTAGCACGTAGAGATAGTTTTTCTAGACTGGATGTCAAGAATTAAGTTATGAGTTTTGATGTTCTACAAATTGATGAAATCTTTTCACCGTATTAAATCATCAAACTCACAATTACTGGGAGTTTCATGCAACAGTTAGCTTTAAGAAAATTCTGAAAAAGCTTCTGCATAATATGAACTGGTGATTTTGATTTATTTCTTTGAAAGAGGTTTTGTATTTTGTTAATAACTTCGCAACAATGAAAAGGTAATTTAATATTAACGTGTTTATACATTTCCTAAATTGAAAGATGGTAAAACTCACATTTTATCCGATTTGACAAAAGCTAAATTTTGCTTTCTTACTTTAATTCTATGAATCAATTTCAGGATCTTTTGTCGGCAAACGATAAGCAACGAGCGAAAGTAAATGATCAAACTCTTTTGAATAAAACTCAGGCATAAACTGACGGATACAATGAAATCTTAATTTCAAATCGACAACCTATTTGCAAGTGAGGTGCGACATTCGAAATATCTAAAGATTGCTTCCAGAGAATGAAGAATACTGAATCGAATCGATGGGCATCTTTTGATTGTTACCTTGGCAACGTGAAATGATGAAAAGGGAAGGGGAAAGCGTTCTGCCATCAAAGAGCGTCACTTCGCTTTTGTTATTGCGGTGGCTATCATAATTAATACCTCTGTAATCATAGATAGATAGATAGGAACAGGCTGAAATAGATAGGGAGATATATATATAGTGTGAGAAAGAAAGATTGGGACAGGCTGAAATAGATAGATAGATGTGAACAGATTGGAATAGATAGAGAGATTGGGATAGATAGATAGATAGATAGATAGATATGAACAGAGAGTTATATAGAGGCATTAATAGGCTGAAAAATATTGACAGATCAATAAATAGATATAGATAAAATCAGAGTGAGAAAGAACGATTAGAACAGATTGAAATAGATAGATATGAACAGAGATAGAAACATGAACAGACTGAGATAGATAGCAACATTGGACATACAGATAAAAACAATAACATCAACATTTTCTATAAAGATAAAATACACGTTAATGAATTTTCTCCTTAGAAACATTATAAAGAAATACACAACCCCAGTAGACCTGAACAAGAAAATTAATTTAATTATCTATTATAAAAAATTAAAATAGCTAACTTCATCGTCAGCAACAACAACAATTCACCTGCAAGATCCAAGGTACACAGGACCTATTTTATTTATGAATTTATATTCCCTTAAGAAACTGTGTTAGTGACGAAGCCAAATTCATATTTATATTGGACATACCACTATCAAGAATACTCGCGTTACATCTCTCAGACAATTAGGACCCATTTAAATACACACGAAAACCTACCAAACTCAGTCTGCAACATACTCATGGAAAATAAGACCATAATAGCCTCATCCACATGTAAAAAATTGTTAAGAATAATGGAAGAATTAATAATAATAAAAAAAAAAAAACACTCAAAAATACTATGAACACGGTCACAACATGCTGACCCTGTGTGGAAAATTTAAAAAAAATTCACATCACTATAGATATAAAAATCTACATATTCAATAAAAAAAAATCTTTGATAATGTCTAATAGAATAGACAAAAGAGATCGGATATATAGAAGAACATTTGCAGTTTTTACATACTTAATGCTCAGAAAACATTTGTAAGAATACAAGAAAAATTGAATAAAAATTTTAATCGATTGCGTTTAGCATGAAACTGAGTATTGCCTCTGGGTGTTGACTACAATGTCTACTTTTCTCTCTCTTAATATATATATATATATATATATATATATATATATATAAAATAAATTTTAAAAACAGATGGATGGTAAAAAAGAAGTGGGCGGCCAAAGCATGTGAATACCGATGAAAATAAAGAAAATGTAACTGTTATATTTAAATTATAATTGTAGGATTATTAAATAAAAAATATATTATTTAGAAATTTGAGTTTATCATTATTGGAAACGGGTAAATTGACACACATATATATATATATATATATATATATATATGAGTAGTGAAAATTTCTCGGCCCGACCTAAGAGCTTCATATAAAATTCCTGGTGTTTGATTAATTTGGTCAGATTATGGGTAGTGTGTCGAGACGAGAACCTTTCAGCATGATCTCGGATTTCTTAAAGCTGCCAACAATTTTTCATCAGAGATTTTCAATTCAGAATTCATTCCAAAAAATGTCTGTTGGAAGCACGCATTACGTAAATCCCTAGAGGATTCCCCCAAAATATGAGGCATAAATTTGACGTCATTTCCATGACGTCATGGCAATGACGTCATTAGGATGATATTGATTGGTCATCCGTAAAAATAACATTAGTTGTTCCAAAAGAAAGCATTTTCTAACCTACTAATACTTTGATAATTTCGAGTAGTACTTACACGTTCGTCTTTTTCTTCCTTTTTATAACACACACACACACACATATATAGATATAAAATAACATTACATTTGGATCAAATAACTATTTTCCAGGATGACCAATTAATGAAATCATATTACACACACGCACACACAAAGAAAAAGAGAAAGATGTAAAAATATATATTTAATTATATAAATTAATAAATTGAATAAAATTTAAAGATTTTTAATTTAAAAACTATTAAAGATGCAAACATAATACTTAGTTTCCGTCGCTCGTCTATCTGAAAGTAAAATCTGAGGTAACCTGAGAAATTTGATATATATATATATATATATATATATATATATATATATATATGATAGTGTAGCAGACTATTATTTTTAGAGAAGTGTATCTCTGCTCGGAGTTCCTGGCGTTGACCTTTGAGGTCAGATACAAGACAAAATAAAGGAAGTCGATTTTGATTGGTTGAAAGAGCATGGGAATGACAGAGATATAGAAAGGGACTTCAGGGAGTTGTTTCTAAAACGTCAAACAATGTAGACACGTTCCCTCTTCGTGTCTGAAAACTGCTTCCTAGTGGAGAGACAGCAACCTCACTGGATAGTTACAGATGTATACGTCGATGTTAATAAACTAGTTTCCCTGTGTTGAATTTTTTTTTTTATCTCCGAACCAAGCGATCATCATCTGTGAAAGAAGAATGTAACGTTATTATGGAATTGAAGCCGTCGCCCCAAGACTCACCACCCCACCAAGGGCTTATACGATATGTATACGAATAAAAATACATACGAAGAGGTACGGGAAATTTTTCAACCCGACCTAAAAAAGATTGTCAAAATTTCTAATGTTCAGTCAGATTGTGGGATATAGGTGGAGCCGGTGACATTTCAGCACCACTTATACATACATATATATATATATATATATATATATATATATATATATATATATATATATATATATATTCTTGTCCAACGACTACAAACAAAGAATTTTTTTTATTTTTATCTTTTACTTAACCTTTCTTGTTTTAATATTACAAATCATTTTGATTATCAATAATTGAACAATGAAAGAACATTTAATACAGTAGAACACTTAGAAGTCTTTAATTCCCATGAGAGTTGGGTTTTAACCAAAATTATATAAAAGTTATTAAGAATATATACTATAACAGTGATGTAGAAGATTACTTACAGAAATACACATGTCACATAAACACTGGAAATGGAATGTAACTTTTCATTTCAACTATTTATAGCTCGTCTTGAAAGTATCTTTCAGGAAATGAACAGGGAAAGATTGAAAGTAAAAATATACGGAGAATATTGTGAACTATCTACGATTCACTTATGACATTTTACTAGTATCAAAATCATAGGGTGAATAGCAAGAAATGCTAAAAAGTGAGTGAATGATTTGTTTTTTACGGCTTATCGAGTTTTGGAGGTTATTTAAAGCCAGAAAATAATTTTAGATTATGAGAAATTTTGGAAATAATAATGGTTTGTTGATACAAGTCCTAATAATTAACTCATACCTTGTGGGGAGAACAGGTGGATTCATATCTTTCCCAAGGGTATTTGCGCGTAAGTGAATATAACGAACCCGACTAGGATTAGAACTCGGTTCTCCAATTTCTAATTCCGAGCCGTTATCCACCACATCATACGCACAACCAAACTTACAGCGCATTGTATTTGGTTACACATCTACGTACTGACTAGACTCAACGTTGCTCAACTTCGATGATCGTATGTTTCAACGTGATATGGCAATAAAGGGAAATGCTAAAGGATTTAAAAACGAAATTTTGAATTGAGGTTAAAAAAAAATGAAATAAAGTAAGGTTTCGAAAAATATAGTAAGAAAAAGAGATAACTGGATTAATGAAATTCAAGATATATATATGTAGGAGTCACAGTTTCGAGCACGTAGACTCAGAAGGAAGTCATACTTCGATATTGAATTTCCTAGACTGTATATGTATATATTATTATAGCTACTAACCGCATTTCTGGATCTACTAACCGTATTACCAATTGTATTATTACGCCAATACATTTATTTGCTATATTTCATTCCTGCATTTGTCATTCATTTGAGACCGGATTTCATCTCGGAATTCACAACATATATATGTATATATATATATATATATATATATATATATATACTGGTATATGTGTTTGGCATAATTGTAAAGCATGGTCAAGCATGGTAGGAGAAGGGAAACACCAAATACAAATCCTATGTCATAAACTTGCATCGTAAATAAAGCCACGAACACGCAAGAGGTTGCTGAATGTGAAAGAATAAGAACAAAAGAAGAGAACAATAACAGAACAAGAATAAAAAAGACAAAAAGAAAACAATTGACTTCGAGAGTTCACAAGCGTGAAGTGCGAGTGAAGAAACTGTTAACAGAACTTATATCTCGCCATTTCAACTGTGAAATGAAGAGAACGGGCTACCAATCTAATACTGTGCTTAAATTTGTTAAGTCTAGGTACCAAAGAAGAAAGCTCATAAAAAATATGTCGCATTGGTATTTCAAGGAAGACCTGTTGCCTTTGAGATTGGTCACGAAGTTCTTCTTTTGACTCGTGTTCCAATATCAACCGAAGTACTTGAGACAAATACTCAGCTGTCAACAACAGGCTCTCATGCTGACTTGTAAAACAGACACAGGTAGACCTTGCAGAAAGATATTCGATGCATATATTGCCGATTTTTACAAATATATAGACGGTAAAGGTTATAGGCATATTTTGTTGTACCTATAATGTTTGTGTGAAAAATGTACAGAGGAGCTATACGAAAGTATTTCAGACACCAAACAGGCCCTCGGTGGGAATATACGAACAAATGAATAGATTATGACGAACATATAGGCGAAAATAGATAGATAGATAGATAGATAGATACAGAGAATGATAGATATGTAAATAAGAGATTTCTAGAGTAAAAACAGGTGGATAGATAGATAAATAGATAGATAAAAATCAACAGATTTAGATACAAAGATAGATACAAAGAGAAATATATAGATAGCTAAATATGTATAGAGTAAGATAGATATGTAGACAGGTAGAAGTAAATATAGATAAATAGATGGCTCTGTTCACTTGAAAGATATTGTGACGCAACTTCCCTTATGACAAAGTAAGTTAAGCTTATCGATTTACTAAGCTGAGAATTGTCTGGCACAAGAGTTCTAGTGGAAAATACCCAGTAAGAATCGAACTCACATTGATAATGATTTGCTTTGGGCAATAACTTCTTAGCAATTATTGCTCCGCGACTAATCTAGTTATCTATCTTTGGTTAACTGTTAGCTTATCTCAGTATTCAATTGAATGAGCAGGATAGATAGATAGATAGATATGAACAGTCTGATATAGGTATGTTAATTACTACGTATATTGATTGTAGCACCATCGTGCAATGCTTAGCAAGCTCTTCTTATAATCTAATACAACAAAAGTGACTATCGCCATTAATGCCGCCTTGTGCCGTATTAAGTCCAGAAATGATCACCAACCAAATTATTACAGACTGGGATCGATATGCCGACAGAGAAACCAATAAACAGTTGCATATGGTCATGAAAACTATAAAGTTGTTATAATTGTTCTGGTTGGTCTCTCTCAGCAATCGCATTTCTGTAAACCTATTGGATTTGAACTAAAAGGCACAGAAGCGCCTTTACAAATTGTATTTTACTGTAAGGAGTTCATGTCATTATCGACATGATTTCAAAGCTAATATTAAAAAAGAAATGACAAAACTTATGGAAATTGTCAGACGTGAAGGTAACTTACATTTAAGAAGTTGTTGGCTGTTGAATATTTTTTCATTGGAACAAGGATTTTCGTAATAAAATTCATTCGATGCTTTTTTCTTCTTTTTTTTTGTTGCTAAGATATGATAAAGACCTCGCAGAACTAGTTTGTACTGGCCAACATTTTAGAACCACCGTGTATACTTATATATATGTTGCACCCTATTTGTATTTATATTTTAATTTCAGGTTTTCACTCGTACATATGTAGTTAATTGCTATTTATGCATGTTTAGACATGTTTAAATAATAAAACATGATTTAATTAAAATAATTTCAATCGTTTCCAATACAGTGTAGCAAAATCCTTGAATAAAGATGCCAACCACTATTTTTTAAATCGTTATGCTTGATTGACTGACAATATCCGCAGTAACCAATATAAATATATATATATATCTTACGGCCAGCTGATAGAGAATTGCGCATGTGTTTTGAATATGTTGAAGATGATGCTTTTGGAAAAAAGAAGAATTCATCTCTTCTCCCAGCAGGTGTGGATTACATAGCAGGGTAGACTGGGCACTCTAGTCTTGGGTAGTAGCCAATCCAGGAGAAGTATTACTCAGAATTCAAAATTGTGCAAAGGCAACGGGAAACCACTCCATTATTTTTCACAATAAGCCAAAGCAGTTTATAAATAAAGAAGCAGAAGATGTTAGAGCCATGATCACCAACGTCCTGAAAGAATAAGGCATATTAAAAAAGTGAAACCGCATTTACAACACCAATGCAATAGTTTCATGAGTCCAGAAACAATGACTGCCTATACATCCATAGATGCATAGTTCTATTATCTTTATCTATTTTGTCAATCATACTTTTATTATCTTTTTTTAATTATGACAAGTACTGTTCTTTGAATTTATGATCATATAATTGCTTCTAATACTACTTGTGCAAAAAAATATTGCGCCGGAGGAGATCGCAAAAGAGTAAGGCTAAGTTAGATTTGAATCTGTAAATTGGTGAGGTCCTATTAACTCAGAAAGTAAGAGCAGTTAGAACATTTAATCAGATTTCTGCGAGCCAAAGTCGACATGGGTTCTTATCCTTTGTTATTTCTATTTGCACTGTTTAATCCGTGCCAAAAGCTGACGACCCAAGTATAGTTGCAGTAAAAAGCAACTAAAAAAAAGTCAGAAGAAAGAAAATTATTCATCAGAATTAGAAATTAAATCAATACATAGATGAAAAAGCTTAGACATATATAAGCGATTTAAGATATGTATTAGTGGTTTTTAGCGACATGTGCTTCTCGTCGTGTTCGAACAAGGTTCAGTATGAAAGTCACACGCGGGATTTTGGTATCTTTTTGGGGTAAAAGAAAATTGCGACTTATCTTTGAGTTTTTATTTATGATCGAAAATGAAATTTATTAACGACTGAAAATTAATTTTTAAAATTTTTGCCCGAAAGCTTAACATAAAAAAAGAGTCACATATGCAAACATAAAATACATTTAAAAATAAAACTCGGCGCAATTCTCTTCGAACAATCACATTACGATTTAGGTCATATTTACTATACAAGTAGGATTTTACCTAAAATTTTTCATCAAGTGTATAAATTGCTTTGGACACTATAAGATATGTGCAATTCTATATTTTTAATTTAATGATTACCGATATAAATTTTAAATACAATCGCGACCAACTGTGAAATAGGGTTTGGTGTTGACTTTGGAATTACTAAATGAAATTTATTCCATGTGTTATGCATATAAAGAATCTGAAATATTCTAAATATACAATTCTATAATGTCAAACTTTTGTCTCACTATCAAATTTTGTTGAATTTTATTATTTTAGTCCTTAATTTTATTGAACAGCATCTTTATAGTTTTATTCAAGTATCATATGCCATATTTCAGGTTACTTTATAATTCCATTCCCCCAGAACATTTCATAAATTTGATGTGTCTTTCAGGGCATTGCAACTTTCTTTTTCTTCATTAAGTGAATTCTTTCAAGACATGAATAAATGGTAATCCGAAGATGCAATGTCTGGTGAGAGAAAACTTCTGCCATACGAGAACAGTTTTTACCTCTTCACCCCCTCCAAAAAAAAAAAAAAAAAAAAAACAACAAAAAAAAAAAAAAAACACGTGGTCTAGTATTATCATGATGGATTATTATACCATTCTTCTTTAATTCTGTACACATGACTGCTATCTTAAGATGAACTTATTGGAATAACTACTTGTTCAAATAAATCATTTAGTTCTCAATAAAGAACTCATACTAAGACTTTTTTCTACTCTCACACTATATACAGCCTCATCTTCCATGGATGAAAACTAGCTTTTCGTATGGTTAATTATGGTTTATGTAATTTGTTCTACGATGTTGTAAAGTATCTCCTCTTCATCGTGCATCACAATTTGTTTTAAAAATGAAATATTTTTGTTACGCTTAAGTAGTAAATAACACATAGAAATATGATTCAGAAGGTATGTTCTCTTTTATGTGGAAGTTATACATCAAAATGACTAGTAAACCAAACTGATGATGCATCTCATTTCAACTCTTGAATAGATATTCTATTCTACTAGTAATCTCCATCATTCTATAACATTGTGGAGCATCATTCAACGAGTAATGACCAACACGAAAGTTTCAAAACAACTTTTGACACTTTCGATTATTTACAGTACCTTCTCCAGAGAAAAACAACTTTTCTTGTTTGAGTCGCATTTTTACTTTAAAATGAAATAAAAAAACATAATTTGTCAAAAATTATTTTCGTCCATATGCAATGTTAGAACCAATATAGGAACATACGCCGATGTTGACAATTAAAATTGCATGTATTTTTGAAAGATATCACTATACAATAAATAGTTATCATTTTTAATCAATTAAGCTAAAACTAAACGCCCCTAATGCCATCTACCGACCAGAAGATGATCTACATTTTTAAACAATGTAAGATTTACCAGCGAACGTAAATACAAAATTAGCAAAAAGAAATTGTTCTTTTCTTCCTTTATTTTCCTCAAACATTTAGTTTGAGATTCGATGTGTTTTTCTTTATTTTCCTCAAGCACTCATTCGTCCACCCACTTAGTTTGAGATTCGATGTGTTTTTCTTTCATTGTACCGATTCGCTAGAAGTTTTGTAATCGTTTTCGACGTTGCCGTCGTTATTAACAATGTCAGGAATTCTTTTGTGCGAGCTTTAGGATTAAGTCGGTGATGTAGAGAGGAAAACAAGACAAACGGCATTTTCAAACGTTTCCGTTGTTACTACTGTTGCGACAACATCCGGTCGCGTCTGTATTAATTAGAAGACCACCGGAAATCCAAACGGTTTGCAGAGAGGTGTGAAGTCATATGACCTCGCCAATTGAAATCTGGCAGTTTTAAACTACGGCAGAAAAGAATTGAACGATTGTCCTTTGTTACTGGGCAAAGCCTGGAGATCTTTTTAGCAATAAATAAAAAATAAAAAATACATCTCTGTAATAGCGAATGTTCTAATGCACCTCCCATCCCATCACACTCATATACATACAACATACATGCATATATATGTGTGCGTGTGTGTGCGCGCGCGCGTTTCTGGAAGAATATGCATTAAACAAAACATCGGAGTTCATTTAAAATGCAAACACTAAAAAAAATCCTACTGTGCTACCTACAACCACATCACGACACCAAAGACTAAACATTTAATAACACATATCCTGAGAGTAATAAACTTTATTACAAATAGCAAACTTTAGAGCAGAAAAGAACGTAGATTAAATAAATATCCTTCCTTTGTTAGGTGTCATTTGTGATGCACGCTTGGGTAATCATGTACCTTTTTCGATTCATGATTGACTTAGCCGATGATTTCCCGCAGTAGGCTGTCGTTAATTTCTACAGCAGACTGGTTGCCAACCAAGGATATAGAACCTAGTCTGTCCTGCTATTTAACCCATAGATGGGGGAATACATAGATTCATATCTTTCCCAAGAGTAAACAATTTTTCATTACTAGTGAATATTGCGTTACATTTTTTGTTGATAACAATGATTGAGGAGAAGAGCTGGATTCATATTTTTTCCCAGATTTGCTTTTGCGTAAATGAATGTAAAGAACTCGACTAGAATTCGAACTCTGTTCTCCGACTTTTCATTACGAGCCGTTATTCTTTACACACACCGCACAAAGTTACAGTACCTGATATTTCCATGCGGTCACATATCTAGGCTCGATTTGCGTAAATTCGGTGATCGGACTATAGCTGGTGCTTCTACGTGATATGGTTGTAATAAATATAATAAAATGATAAAGAAATTGAAAAACATTAACAAGATAATGAAAAAGCCGACTTCAAGAATGTGACAAAAAAATATTTGAAAAAGATTAAGCAAGAAAAGTCAAGTGATCAGCAAAATAATAAACACGAATAATTGATCGATCAGCAAGAAAATATTGGTGTTGTGCACATGCACAGAAAGAAAACATACAGAACATTAAGAATATTGGCTAAATACATGAAAATAACCAAACTAACACATTTAAACGATCATCATGAAGGGAAACATGCAACTTAGGTGAAGAAATGCATGAAAATTGATTTCTCAACAGTAATGTTTAGTCATGAATGTACAGATAAATGAACCTGATAGCATGGCTAGAGGTTGGATCTTTCATGGAAATAATCTAACAAGAAGACTTAAAAAAACAACAGAGCTGAGGTAGAGTTATATTTTGGGATAGTATTATAGGTAGCAATATTATAAGCCCTTTCAAAACACTGACAAATTCAAAG